TGGCATTATAACTTTTATTTGATCATTGTAAACCACTTTCATGACGCCTGACTTCTCCTTCCATTGCATGACGCACAACTTTGAGGTCATCCATAGCTCACCTTACTCATGAAGGGGAAGAGAGGGTGATGGAAAATAACGGAAGCACTAAAAGCATATATATGATTACAGGAGAGGGAGGGAGAGGCCTTTGGCAGCGTAACGTCCCGTTCAGGTATGGATGCAAATGACCCTAACATCTTGATAAACAAACTAAATCGTACACCAGGATGCCTTTGGATTACTGGCTTGACATGGAACACACCCGTTGGTTGTATCGCAACTGTTGCTCAATTAGGCGCCTTACTGGCGTTACTTTCGAGGACGGTACATTTAGCAAAGCGCACCTAGGGGGGGGGGGGGAATATTTCACGGGGTGTAACCAGTGAGGAGCCATGGGATGGAGGGTGAAAATGGCGGAGATGTAACCTGCTGTAAGAAAGGCTCCTCCTAATCTTCAAACTACAGGAATTTTTTCAACTTCATCCTGCGAGCGGAGATCCAGGATCTTCTTTACATGTTAAGTGCATAAAAATGCACTGGAACGCAGCCTTATCTCCCCCCCCCCCCCCAACCTCTGAAAAGATATTCCCTGCGTACTAACAGCTGTTTCAGCCTCACTATAGGTCGATGTATCGTAGCCGTCTCGCTAAAAGCTTTGCACGTTTTCCATCTGAACACAAGACTGAAGTGATCTAAATCAATAGAGGGATCGGAAATTGATGAAATGCCCGGTGAATCTAAATGTTGGAACGGTTATGCCATTGAGATTTCCAACTACTCGAAATTTCCACCTCTCCAGGGTCTTTTTAAGACCATAGAGACTCCTCATGCTCAAGGGTTCCCTGCGATCTCGAGAACTGAGCAAGCTAGAGCCAGCCATGTGGAAAACGGCAATGGAAAGCTCTCGTCAACGCACATTTGATAAGGGAGCCTTGAAAAAGATGAATTCTATTTTACAGGCCAAATGAGATAAAACCGGCCAACATACCACTTTATAGACTCCTGTTATCGCAGGTACGAAACCTGCTACGGCAATGCAGAAGACGGCGTTGAAAAGCTCTTAGAACGTTTTATGTGGTGGACACTCATGGATATTGTCACATGCAACCAGTCATGAGATGCCATGCCAGGTCAAATGAATGAAGCTGATCGTTGCGTTTGCCAGTGCGGCTAAACCGAGAGCTAAACAAGCTGCTACATCAATGAGGAGAACAGGGCTGAAAGTTCTACCGAAGTTGTAACGCATGTGTCATTTGGGGTTAAGTCGCATGGCGTTCTAATGGTCGAATTTGCCCAAGAAGATGCAAATTTTACACTTCAAAAGGCACTGGACCGATAACAATACAATTCATATTGATGCGCAGGAGAAGAGGAGCATCGGAAAAATGTTTGGGAAACATTTCGAGCGAGTGAGGAGCGTCAGTCGACACTTTTGAGCAAAATCTCATCAACACGACCTTCAGAAAGCAGTTGTAAGTGAGGGACCGCCAAGGTCAGAAACTTGCATTTTTCACGTGTGTTTAAGCGATACGCCATTAGGCATCCAGAATTCCAGTACCGAAAAAAAAAATGTTGAGAAGAACTAGCCGAAAAATCTTAGGGGCTTCAGGACATCCTTGTGCACTGACGGTTACCAAACGGAAGGGTTGCTAAAATGAACCGGTTGCTGAGGTTCGTATGTGTGGTTAGTTTCAAATTTTGGTGTAGGGTAATTTGACGTGACGGGGTGTTTGTTATCGGGTGGTACGAAGTGCGCTCACTCAAAGGTTCGACGTTACAAAACGAAGCTCAGTGAAATAAAGCCTATTTGGGATTGGGAAAAATTGAAAGAAATACCTTCAGTGGAAAGCCTACAGCCCCACCCAGACTGTTAATGAGCCCATGCTGGCATCTAGTTCTTATGAATACACTGGACTCCTCACTCGAGGCACGGGGAACAAGCTTCCCAACTACTTCGGAATGACGCACACTTTTATCAGTGGCGCAGTCAAAATTTAGCCTAATGGAACGCAAGTTATAGGTCCCGTTCTATCCCGATGGAGACGCACTCTCCTTCGCTGCGGTTCCGATGCGGCTCGTCGGTTGGAACACGCGTAGTCATACCCAGGTCGCAGCACACAGCACGAATGGGAAGACAGGAACACACGGGGGACCGGCAACCATGGTATTGCCCCCCCCCCCCCCCCCCCGCCAGGCTGCCGCGGGGGCCACACGTGCGGTACCTGTCCCACAGATACGGACTTGTCGTCTTACCGTACCTTCCTAAAAGGCTGTTGTTGGCCCGCTCGCCTTGCCCTGTCGGCAGTCTCAAACGTCTGCGCGAGGAGGGCGGGTGTACATGTTACGGATAACAGATAACAACAGAATGGATAGCAGAATGGATAACAGCACACTTTGTAGATAAGACATGCCCGAAGTGCCTTATCTACGACGGACACTGTGACGCACACCGTAGAACCTTCTAGGCTCTTTGCATGATCCGCATCATCCTTGTTTTATGGTGTTCAGATAAGTCTGATCTGTCTGTTAATGCTGTTAAATCAAGTTATAAAAATAAGAAGGGGTGATTAACGGTCTGGTAATGCCAATAGCCGAAATGATTATGGGGTTCAAAAATTGTCATACAAAATAAAAAAACAGCATGGGCGGTGTTAGGACCAAACAAAAGTCATACAAGAACTGGGAGCCTTATGCGGAGTTGCCATAGCTGCTGCTGGAAAAAACTTAACACGCACTCGGGTGGGGGTCAGATTGATCCCCCAAAGGTTTTTTCCGGGACGGTTTCCAAACGGTGCGGCGTAGCCGCGCCAAACTTTGCATAGCTGTAGAAAATTGAATAGCGGATCTTTTTGCACCAAAAATTTAAATGTACTGTGTAAGGAAGCTGTCCTATAGCAGGTCAAATTCAGGGCATGGTTTAAGCGAAGTCAGTTTCTAGGAAATCGTTCGATCTCATGGAACAGCGGAGTGTTTAACGAAACCATACAGCTCTGGGATGCTTTCTTAGACAACACAACAGTTGAATGAGCACATTACATTGACCTAAGGTTAGGTATGAAGGTCAGACCAAGGTCAAAACCAACCCGTTTTATTACTCTAGGGCTTGCTGTGTGGGATCGTTTCTGGTACTCATTTCGAATTTATTGATAGCAGGAGCCGCACTATACATCTTCCGTGAACTTCTTAGAGGGCAGAATAGGTCATTGACTCAAAATGACCCGGCTCAACATTTTGTTTTTTTCGGAACATACTGCCTAGCGTAATCTTTGTCGCTTATTTAAATGCAAAACTCAGAGAAGCTTGTATGATTTTGGTCACCATGGCCTTCAAAAGGTCAAAAAAGGTCACTGACCTCAAATGGGTATGTGGTATTTTGTTAAGAAACGGTTATCTAGGTTTTGGGAGCACTTTGGAGACCAGCCTGGAGTTTGGCCTTTGTTTGACCTCATTTGACCCAAAGGTCATAACCTAGGAATCTGAAAGTTTGACCTAAGTGAGTTCACGTAGAGGTTAACACACCCTGCAAATGTCATGCTTCTAACTCTCTGAGTTCCCGAGATCTCAGGGGGTCAAGTTGACCCTCCACCCGTGCGAAAGGTATCCAGCCGGCCACCCGGGCGCGTGTTAATGCTGAAATGAAGGCAAGTCAGACCCAAATCCACCTGAGCACTGCAAACGCACCAGAGCAAGACGAGAAATTGTAAACAGCAAGAGAACCAACGGTAGAATGGTAGAAGCATTGAAGGAAAACCGGAGGAGACTGGGAATCACGATGGTAGACGTACTTTCCCTCAGCCAATGCTGCTGTACCGTTTTCTGTGCAAAGACATCTTTGTACGCTCGATTCGAAACCTGAACTTGGCGGGAGCGGCATGATTTCTTTACACCACGCAAACTCGGAAGAGTTAAGGTGTATACTTACTCCTACTCAATTACGATCCCTCGTTCAAAATGATGGGATTGTGCATAAATGAAAAACCACAAAAGGCTGCCGCACTTATTATGTTTACCGATTTCAGAAGTTCATTAAAAACAGTTTTCTCCGTAATATTGGAGTTGAAAACGATATCTAGAAACCAAACTTATTCTGGATGGCCCATTTTCCCTGCGGCCCAAGCCATGCTTCTATCTTATGCTATAAAGTTTTGAAATTTGGACTGCAAAGCCCTGCAGCCCTTTATTGGAAATTGAACAACACGTATAATTTCACCGAACTCTGCAGGGTACCCTCAAGCGACCTGCGCTCTCGTCCGTCGTAATACGCGGTGGTAATTTGCTTCGAAAAAAAAACATTAGCAAACCCAAAGTCTTGCAGCTTTGATAGAATCAGCTCATTTTTCATACTCAATTTGGCCTGCACATTACAAATACGTGAACTGTTTTATTGCCAACATCCACGTTCCGGTAAAAAAGTCGCTGCCCCAAATCTCACAATAGTTTTGCAGTGTTCGGTCATAGTTATTCCGAATTAAGCTGCCAACGCGGTTGAGAGGCGACAAGGTGATATGCTCCATGATAAAAGGTGTGATATGCTCCTTCAATCAAATGACACCTTTCCCCTAGATGGGAATTACCTTTTCGTGTTGTAATGACTCTGTAACATTTTGGCCTTAGCATGGATTCAGGTTGACGTGAGCACCACTTGACAGAACTTTAATTGTGGCGGAGTTCTTAGCCAAAGAGTTCCGGTCGGACAAAAAAAAAAAACGCAAAATGGCAACATCTCCAGTCGCTCCGATTCACTGGAAGTGAAAAAGCTGCGGTACGTCAACACAAGTTTTGACTCGTTTTCTGAAAAAGAAGCACAAGTTTCTTGTGGGCTCTATACCTATATAGGTCAAGAATGTGGCTGGTTCGCCTTAGATGGTACCGCCATAAAACGCTTCCTTTGCTGACAGCTCTGTCATGAAGCTCTTGGTTTGGTATTCCGTAGTAAAATTGAATTATCGCGGCGGACATTTTCTTTATTCATAGGTCTACTCCAGCTGATGATCCCCTGATTGGGTGGCTCGTAAGGCCGGGGAAAACACTTGGAACAAGTGTTTATTTCCAAACACATCCATATATGATACATTCCAAGCATTTGCCATGCATTTCACAGCAAACCGAGTTCTTCACATAATGCATTGATCACTTATGAAGTTTTATCTTGTTCACCCGAGTTTTGTTTCTGACGCAGTATTATGAAAGTTTTTCCCTCAGCACAAAGCACGACGATAGCCTGGACTAGCATGCATACAAACAAGAGTGTACAATGCAGTCTGCCATCTTCGACGTATCACATGCTACATGTCTCGTATAGGTCAAACCAAAACGCACCTACCTCTCGCAAAAAACCTCCCTTCGCAATCGATCTCAGCATGTCACCTGAACGTTTAGTGCCTTTTACAGCTCACAGCAACATGCCCAGGCAGCACAGATGGAGTGCTCTGGACAGAATGCCGGCCCATATAGCACAGGCGGAGTGCTCTGGACGGAATGCCGGCCCAGTCCGCACAGGCGAAGCGCTCTGGACCGTATGCCGGAAATGCATGTTGGCTGATGGTGCCTTTCGGCTGATTGCCTCTCAGGTGACCACGTTCAGCTCGAGCACGATGGCGCTGAAAAGCAGTCGTCTGCTGCCAGCACCGTACCGGCGTCGGTGCTCTCGCGAGTCCCGTGCACTGCTCCACTTCGAGCTCCGTCCTCCATCGAAGCTTGCACAGCAGTCGAGATAGCCGAAAACGGTGGCCTCTGTGAGCTTGACGAGGCCCATGATCTCGTTTTGAAGAAGACAGACGATCGACTCTGGTTCGAAGTCGGGCGGATGGGCAGCCAACGCTCAGGAGCAGCGCGTCATTCACCGGTTCATCTCCGAGGAACCAGTGAACATAATGCGCTATGGACTAGGATGTACCTATGACAGTTCGGACTCGTCCTTCCTCTGGTCGGCTACGCCACCCTCGATCTGCAACATAACGACCGCTAGTAAGTAGTGAGTAGCTCAAGCACGCTTTCGCGGAAATCCGCGGCTCATCTCAACTCACGCCACTCGTAATCATGGCAACCCGTACGATCAAGGACCACAGTCAGTCGCTGGTGTACGATTACCGCCATCTGCCTGACAGTTATCATTCACCATTCGACGTCGTACTGCGAGATAGATTTCGTCCTTCATATCGTCTCTGGTCACGTTTGGACGCATCGGCTCGGGGCATCACTCCCCGTCCAGTCCACAGTGGAGGCCGTCTGACCCCGGGGGACGATTTCTTGACCCGAGCTCAGGTCACCGACACTCACCGGGTCGTCGTCCGAGCGCATGGTTGTGCGAGACTTGGCGCGGCCGGCGCTGCGCAGGTTTCGCACCCGAGCGCTCTGCACGCGCTGGTTCAATAGCTGCAGACAAACGAGAAAAAACGTTGGCCGGTCAGCTGGCGTGACCGGGCCCCGTTCACCGGGACATTAGCATGAAAGTGGCACCGGGTGGCGGCGGCGCTGCCGGCCACACGGCGGGCGGCGGAGCGTGACACGCGCCGCGGCGCTGGCCCCAGTCGGCTGGAACACAGCGGCGGGCGGGCCGGGGCGGGGAGGGACGCAGTCAGCGGCCGTCAGCGGTCCAACCCCGCTGTCACAGCGCTCCACGGCCCCCGGGGACCAACGCAGGCAGGTGGGCGCAAAACACGTCGGAGGCCAGCGCGCTCCACCTCCGACTGTCATCATGTCACCACAAGCTGACAGGCGCGGGAGCATGCTGAAAGCAGTGGCACGACAGGCCCAATGCGTCGCGGGGACATTTGCGCACAAAGATCGGTCGTCCCACCGGAGCTTTAATTGCCCCGTGTCACGCGATAGGCTGGGTTCAATCACAAAGCCGGCGCACGTGCGGTAGGAGCTGGCCATGCGGCCCAGCCCACTCCCCCCGCGCTGGTATATACAGGCTGACACAAGAATGGCTACGCATGCGGGGTCAGGCGCACAGAGGAAGGTGTTCTACTTTCGTAGGTGCAAGTACCAGATGGCGTGCTCCAAATGTCTTATCGCGTGCTGGCTTCTTCTCCGCCACACACGTGGTGGCATGCAGTGTCACAGAATCCCTTCGCTAGACGCGCAGCGGGAACTGGAGGTGGCTGTATGCAGAGGCTGCTGCTGACTGTGCATAATGAAGGCCTGCGCAGTGCAAGCAGTTCCAGAGAGCAGCGGTTAGATTTCTATTTTGAAAATTTGTGTCGGTGACGGTGGCGATCGATGCCCCGCAATGTACCATACGATATTATTTTTAAGATATGGAGCGTGTCGCTTACGATTCTGGTTTTTCTGGGCGGTCACGCCATGCAAAATTTTATATGCGCGTTTTTTTCCTGTGTGCTTCTGTCATTCATGAAGGGAGAATGCGCTGTGACAAGTGTGGCAGCCGCCATGGCAGCTTCTATTAAAATGCAACATTTTCGATTTTGTGTTGGAAGATCCTTCTTCTGACAGGTCAGCAAGTTAACGTTTCTCAACATTTCTCATTCACTTTATTGTTTATTTGTTTATTTGTTTATTTAGGATATAAGAAATCACAGGCAAAAGCCCATTATGGAAGCAGTCCAGTTTAAGAAAAATGAATATACGATACACACACAAACAAAAAACTAGCCAAACACACACACACACACACACACACACACACACACACACACACACACACACACACACACACACACACACACACACACACACACACACACACACACACACACACACACACACACATGCATATCACGCAAAGTCGCGCATCAAGTCACAAGAAAATGTTCCACGTGAGTCGGCGAACCTACACAAGGGAGATCGGAATGATTTTGCTGGATCTTTTATTGCTTTGGATTGTTTGAATTGTAATGAAGTTTTGGACAAACAAATGCGGAAGATCTACTTAGCTTAGTTATAAACTCACTAATCGGTAGGCGTAGAATATGTCTGTAATGAAAGGACGATTCTGAAAGAATTTTAGAGACTTTGAACGACTCGTAAGTGGAACATCAAGTTCAAATATTGTAAAACATATCATATGCAGGTGTGAAACTGACATTATTAGATGCATCAAATGTTCACAAAACATTCAGGCAGTAGTTCTTTCTAACAGAGGTGAACTTTGAGAAAGTCGCGGGAGGTAGGGGAGAGCATAAGGATTCTAAATCAGATCTAATAACAAAATTTCCTATGATCACGTTCTAACATTCGGGATGCAGTGTAATGCAACTGTAATCAATTATCAAAATCCCCGCAAAAAATGCGGTTTTTCAGGACATTGAGTGACCAAATCATTCAGTAAAGTAGCATCGCATAAATGCTTCGACCGTTTATATAGCAGTGTTTAAGAGGTTTTGGGGCTGATAACTGATCCCCTGTATGCTATAACATTATATAACGTACGCTATTTAGGTAAACACAGCGGCGTTGTTTCATATACATATATATATATATATATATATATATATATATATATATATATATATATATAGATATATATATATATATATATATACATCCATCCAATCCTCGACATTCCATTCAAGCTATTTACTGCTCATATTGATGCAATTAGCTATTGCACTGATTCGTAGACGTAATGCTCTGAGCAGCTACCCATTTTTGATAGTTGTAAACTCACATGGTTTTTGAGATATCTGGTCCAGCGATGGGCCACGTGTCTGACCAATATCCACGAGCTTTCCACGCGCTGAGCCGGCTAAAGGCCATACCGGTACAAACAGTGTCAACGTGGACACAGTTCAGGATAATACTAGGTGCTGAAAAATATGGCCGGTTATTTCTACCCGATGCGTGATGCGAAACAATCAGCGCGCCGGCCGGACGCCCTGCTGGTTGTGGACGGGACGGGGACGGGACGACAGGTGAGCGTTTCTGCGCGGTGTCTCCCCGCGGTCAAGGACTGTCGGCTGAGCCCGGAATCAGAGGTCGGGTGGCTCACCGCAGCTCGGGCGGCACGCCGCAGCTCAGGCGGCTCACCGCAGCTCAGACGGCACACCTCTGCTCAGGCGGCACACCGCAGCTCAGACGGCACACCACAGCTCAGGCGGCACACCGCAGCTCAAGCGGCACACCGCAGCTCGGGCGGCCACACCGCAGCTCTGGCGGCCACACCGCAGCTCAGGCGGCCACACCGCAGCTCGGGCACTGCTGGTGACGTCCGCCACCCCGGCTCGCCGCAGCCGCTGTACAGACGCATTTCTGGTAAATTTGTTGTTAGTTCGCGGAGTGTTCTGGTGCTTGGCTTGCTTGCAGGCTATGTGTTAGTGTTAGCGAAATGGACCAAACGTCACTTTTTCTGTCCCTCCATCCCATTTCGCGCGGTCGGAATTTCAAACCTTGTAATGACAGGCCTAAATCGTTGTGAATTGAAGAGAGCGTTATGTCGAATGGAACAAGCCAAGATAAGCACCGCGCGGTACCTATTAATACGAGATTCCGTGGGTGCGCGCCAGTCTAAAGGGCATCGTCATGCACGTATTTTCAGCGTTGCTGCAAGGCTAGACTGGCATTTCAAGGCCGCTAGCCTAATGTTGCAGATGACATGCGACGGTGGCAGTAAGTCTCAGACATTTCCACTCCTAACATCACATTAGGAAACGATCCGTCTGTGATCCGCGCTGTGTGTGCACCATCAGCGCTGCACGCTGGAAGATTTGTTTGCATTAATTGTCCACCATCCAAACCCGTGCCGACATCGCCTTTTTAAGATTTTCCATTTAGTCATAGATGACCATACTAGACCAGTAAGCGTTGCCCGAGATACGTTTAAATTTTCAGTCACTTGCACGTCATATTTTTTTTACCATTTCCACTTGCATCAATGAAAACATCGATTTGCTGTCCTGAGAAGTTATGATGAAAGCATGTCCGGAAATTTTGCGACGAATTCAATAGCAAAGTGCAAAGGTCATCAATTTTTCACAGTGGTTTTGTCGACTGGCACACAAATTAGCTTTACTTTCGTACGCATGGGTTGGGCCAACAACAGCCATTGCCACAATACTCCCACTGAGCCCAGAGCCAGGAGAACCAGCTCCACGTGCTCGTCCATGCAGGCTCCCCTCACTGCTTCGAAAGGCACATCAGGCCCATGCAACGGCGCGTGTGTGGCAGGCCGGTGCGGGCACGGTTTGGTACAGAGCTGGTGGCCCGACCCGCCCCGGGGTTGCACCTTGCTCCTCCGTTCGGCGGCGTTGGCGTGCTTGCCCTCGAAGATCTCCAGCGTCAGCTGGTTATCCTCGAGCCGCTGGAAACGCTTGGGCGGGTGCCGCTGGATCAGACTCTCGCCCGCCTCCAGCGGAATCTCGAACGCGATTGCCGACGAGCCGTTGGCTGCAACAGGAACAAGGCAGCGTCACGTCTCCACACCGACTGGGTGCTTGGCTTGTATCCCAGCGATACGGCCGAAGGGAGGTCAGCACCTTGCCCAGGTGGGTAAACACGACAATTTTCTATGTTTGCACTCGGCTCGGTTCACGGTCAATATAGTTCGCGGTTACCCACGGGTTCACTCGCCTGTAATCAATCAGCTTGTCACAAGCTACTAATATAATAGTGGGATGCCTATGCCGGGTCAACAACTAATGTACCTGTGTTATAGTTGCTAAATGCGCTCTCCCCAAAGGAGAAAGAATATTGTTGATGGGACCAACACGCATGGCTCATCTACACGTTATTCGCCGCAGACGCGATGCAGCAGCTGCTTTCAGCACCACAAGTGCCGACATCCTGCATTCTGTCAACTGGACTTAACTGTGTTCTCACTAATTGAGTGTGAAAGCGACAAGGAGAACGTGTAGAAGACCACCCGAGCGTGTCCAGAACCAGTGTCGCCATCCGCGGTCCCCTGACGTCCGCGTGCTATATGGTGATTCCCTTGAAAATTCTGAAGGCAGTTGAGCTTTCACATACCTTGCCCGCGCCTATTAATACTACATTCAAACAGCAACTGACCCGTGATTTATGGAACCATTTGGTTCCACTGGACGGGTGTAGGTCATGAGGCAATGTAGGCGAAGCCTGGAGACGCTGCACGGCTCTTCGGAGGTGACTGGTGATTTACTGGTGACTGACTGGAGGCCTCGGATTTAGCCCGAACCATCGGGTATGATGATATAATACCAGCGCCGGTATAGCACACCGATTAGACATGGACAGCCCAAGCTTTAACACCACACATTGTTAAAACCAGTATCAGGCGTGTGTTGGGTCGATATTGCATGCAAGATCCATGACTGTATGAGGGTATGCTAATCCCGACCATCAGCGGCGAGAGGCCTGTTTCACGCTTTTGGATGGTGACGCAAATCGCGTTACCGTCTACAACTGGGAGCGGAACAGCAAAGGCTAGTCGTAAATCCCCAAATCTAATGCTGAGCTTATGGATGAAGAACAGGCTCCGAAATATATAAGCGGTGCACTACGTCTGAATACAAAACAAACTACAAGTTCTTCACAAGGACGGAAGGTTGGGAAGTTCCGATGCTAGGTAAAATTAAACTTGGAAGAGCTCCCCTGAACGAATATGTTTGCCCAAAGTTTGGAGCCCATACTGTGTACTGGTGGCCAAAAAGCGGCTTCCATGCAAATATAGGTCCACAAGGCTGTGCTCGCTCATTTATAGGGCCATCCATGTCTGCATTCCAAGAGAACGATGTTTCTTCAGTAGAGCCGTGGTCGGGAGCCCGCTGTGCCTTAAGTGTAATATTGCGAATGAACTGAAACACTTCTTTCACGAGTGCGCGAGCGTGGGGGCGATATGAAACCCATGCATGATAAAATGAACGATAGCTTTGAAATGCCGGATAACTTCAACTCACCTCAAATATTTCTACTCCAACATGGCAATGCTACACCTCTTGTTGAATGATTAATCTGATAATTGAGGTAATAGCTGACGCAGCAACCTTTCAACAGCTCACAAATGCAAAGTATGCAACTATCAGGTGCAAAACCATCTGAGTCGAGAAGTGTATAGCGAACTGGATTGTTGGATGAAGCTCATAATTTTGGGATTTGACAGATGAAGACGGTGCATACAGCTATAGCGCATACTTTGGATGACAGCGGTACAGGTAGGTACAGAGCAAACAAAACACATATCACTGGTTCCGTCTACTTTAGAGACGTCAAGAAGCCGGTTGAGCACAGTGCATAACTGGTCGTAAATTTTTGCATGGTACTTTCGAACAGTCCACCTACCATTGAAAGCAATGCATGTTAAGAAGACAAGTATTAAATCTTGTTTCCAAATATTTATCTCCTGCACACTACCTAAACCCAGCGTTATTCATTCCCCAGCAACTCCGACATTCATAAGAATTTGCGATATCCTAGGTGCTCTATTAACACGCGCTTGGGTGGGGAGGGGGTCAAATTGACCCCCCCCCCCGAAGGTTTTTCAAAATGGTTTCCGAACGGCGCGCCGTAGTCGCGCCAAACTTTGCATAGTTGCAGAAAATTGAGTAACAAATCGTCTGACATCAAACATTTAGCGACCTTGTAAGGTCGCTGACCTATGGTAGGTCAAAGTCAGGCCATGGTTTCAGCGAATGCAATTTCTAGGGAATTGTTCAATCTGATACAACAAAATCTGATACAACAACAGTCTCTGAGATGCTTTCTTAGACACAAAAAATATTGAATAAGCGAATGACGTTGATCTAAGGCCAGGTATGAAGGTCAGACCAAGGTTAAAACCAACCTGATTTATTACTCTAGGGCTTCCTGTATGGGATAGTTTCTGGTGCTCGTTTCGAATTTATTGACAGCAGGAACCGCATTATATATCTTCCATTGACCTCTTAGAGGTCAGAACAGCTCATTGACCTAAGATGACCTGGGCCGCCATTTGGTTTTAGGAACACACTGCCTAGCGTAATCTGTGTCGCTTATTCAAATGCCAAGCTCAGAGCAGTCTGTACGATTTTGGTCACCATGACCTTCAAAAGGTCAAACAAGACCACTGACCTGAAATGGGCTTGTGACCTTTTGCTTAGAAACAGTAGCCTAGGTTCTGGGGGTATTTTGGAGACCATCCTGGAATTTGACCTTGTTTGACCTTATTTTACCTGAAGGTCATGACCTAGGAAACTCAAACTGTGATCTAAGTGAGTTCACGTACAGGTCAAGATACTCTGCAAATTTGGTTTCTCTAGCTTTCTTAGTTTTTGAGATCTCAGGGGGTCAAATTGACCCCCACCCATGCGAAGGGTATCTGGCCGGCCACCCGGGCCCCTGTTAATATCCTAGCACTATCCCCACCGCCTCCCCGACTCCGCATATCAAGGCAAGGCTCATGGCTTCGGGAATAAGAGCACATCTCATGGAGGACGTAATCAGTTTACGAGGTGCATAAGCAGATTTGTTGTCAAGAGAAGGCTTTCATGGAATGCTTTCACCCCAAATATATACGGAGGGCCTTCATGCGTACTTGCATTGGTATTTTGCCTTTGACTGCGCGTTCTGAGCGCACATTTTGTGCACTTAACTACCTTCGGTCAGGTCCAACGTTTTGGTATTGATGGTCACCTTTGACATGACCCAAGGCCATCATGTTCTAGAAAGGATAGGACTTCGACTATGACGCATCGATTGGTGGAGGTTTCATGCTGACCGGTTCCATAGACTCGGAGCATGGGGCTGTCTGCCAAGAGCTTGATGCTTTTCGGCTGTTTTCGTAACCTCTGATGTAACCCATGGTCACCATGTTATTGAAGGAATAAGATATCGACTGTGGCACATCGATTGGTGAAGGTTGCTTGCTGATCAGTGCAATAGAACCCTGTTTTCCAGTTTGTGGTATCATGGTGATCTTTGACGTGACCCAAGGTCACCATGTTTTGGAATGGTTAGGATATCGACGATGGCGCGTGGAGAAATGAAAAATTCACGCTGACCGGTCCAATAGGCTCGGAGCATGGGGTTGTCTGCAGCCCCGTTTTCCCGATTTTTGATATTTATGGTCACCTTTAATCTGACCCATTGCCATCATACTCTGGACAGGGTAAGTTATCGGCTAAGCGGCATCGACTGGTGAGAGTTTGGTGTCGATCGAGGTCATAGGCTCGGAGCATCGGGTTATTTGAAACCAATTTTGGTGGTTTTCGGCGTTTTTGCCGAAGTTTGTCGTGACTCAAGGTCTCATGTTATAGCAAGAATAGGGTATCGACTATGGCATATCGATTGGTAAACTTTTAATGCTGATCCGTGTCATAGGCTCGGAGCGTGGGGTTGTCTGCAACCAATGTTGGTATTTTGGACGTTTTTGGTGACGTTTGGCCTGACTCAAGGTCACCATGTCCTGGAAAGGATAGGATATCAGTTATGGCGCGTAGATTGCTTAAAGTTTCATGCTGATCATACCCATCCGCTGCGCATTACACCATGACCAATTTGTTTGCTTTTTTGGAGCGCGTAAGTTCAAAGTTGCGATACATCATCATGCAACTTTGCGCACAAACTTCATTTTTTGCGTTGACAACCCCCCAAAACAGTGCAATTGGAGCTACTTATGACTAAAAAGCACAGCCGATAGCAATGGATGTTTTTGACACATTCCTAAAACCTCGTAAACGTCGCACCCACCCACCTGTGCCCATACCAGTAATTTTCCAAAGATTTGCAATCAACCCAGCCCGTTATCCATGACATGTGTGTAACATAGTCTTAGCCAAACTGACGTTGTGACATTGAGGCTTTAAAATGCACTCAGCTGTTTAGGCTAAATGGCAGTGTCTTCCTCTCACCCTGACAGACACCGCATGGAATCAACCCCATAGTCCGAAAGTTCCCAGACACACAGCTTAACCGCTGCACTATTGGTTTCCTTTTACCCGATCTGTGAAGTCCTACCAGACATACAGCTTAACCACTGCACTACCGATACCCTTTTACCCGATCTGTGAAGTCCTCCCAGTCACACAGCTTAACTACTGCACTAGTGGTACCATTTTGCCCGATCTGTGAAGCCCTCCCAGACGCATAGCTTAATCACTGCACAATTGGTACCATTTTCTCCGACCCGTGAACTCCTCTCAGACACACAGCTTGACCACTACACCACTGGTACCATTTTACCCGATCTCTGAAGTCCTCCAAGACACACAGCTTAACCACTGTACTATTGGTACCATTTTGCCCGATATGTGAGGTCCTCCCAGATACACAGCTCAACCACTGCACTACTGGTACCATTTTCTCTGATCCGTGAACTCCCCCATATACACAGCTTAGCCACTACACTACTGGTGCCATTTTCCCCGATCCGTGAAGTCCTCTACATGAATAGCGCCTATAGCACCAACAATGATTCTCCTGTTTGAATTGTTTGCCCTGTAACACTCATGGTTTGCTAGTCGCCCTTCCAAACAGTGCTTGCTCCCTAGGGTGTTGACTAGCTCTTCCTGACGCCAAATCCTGGCGGCGTTCCAATTCGTCACAGAAGACCTGTCATAAATCCTGGCGGTGTTCCAATTCGTCACAGAAGACCTGTCATAAATCCTGGCGGCGTTCCAATTCGTCACAGAAGACCTGTCATAAATCCTGGCGGCGTTCCAATTCGTCACAGAAGACCTGTCATAAATCCTGGCGGCGTTCCAATTCGTCACAGAAGACCTGTCATAAGAGCGCCATCACAAACAAAGTCCAGCTGGTGCACCACAGTCCGTAGCACGGAGGTCACCAGAAAGCTACGACTTTGAGGTTAAGCCGATGACATGGTGGTCCCCACGGTCGTCCCTGGTGATAAAGTCAAAGTTTAGTGGTCAAAACATCCCAATGAATATGACTGGCGCTGCTTACGCCTCCCTCTCCGCAGGTAAACACCCTGCCTTGAGGAGCCAATAGCTGGATGATGCACGAGGCTTTTGCGTACCCGTGATGACTTCCCATAGGTGGCTTCTTACGTGCCTTAGTTCCGGCTCCTGCTGTCCTGCCCTGACCTGCACCGGAGTTTTCGTCGCGCACCAGCCGTTGATTCGCTCACCTTGCTTGACGGGCAGCAGCTGCGGCGGGCTGGCAGGGTTTAGCTGCGTGCTGGTCTGGTCTGGCTGGTCCGCCGGGCTTCCGTTCGGTATGTGGTTGTCCGGTACGCTCTGTATTCTGTCCAGACCATCGCTGACGCCGTTTTCTGGGGTAGGAGTGGGGCAATTAGTAAAGGCAACGAAATACGTCCAGGGCATCTAAGCGTATACACCACCGATTCTGCCTGCCAGTAGAAGCTTGCAGTGACTGTTTTACATGATTTCACAGTCCAGTAACACCACTTTCCAGATGCCGGGGTTGTCAGCACAATAACAAAAGCTCAACCTGTTGCGACTATGTTACCACTGCTACCACTACCACTGACCGGACACTTACTGTGTCGACACAGCATTACTGGATGCGATCTACGCGAAGGGAAAGCAGCTCTACCACCATCGCTGTAAGATAATTTATGAAATGCATCGCTGGTCCCGCTGGCAGCACCCTCACGATCACAAAATTTCGTTGCTGTCTTCTTCGGAGGCAAGATGCTGACTGCATCGGTCTGTCAGCGACAGAAGACCTGCACATGAGGCATGTACACGAGTCAACGATGCCTGGCTCAGCATCAAGCACTGGCATGTGCTCACCTTTGAGCACTTCAACCTTGGAGACATTCTCAGCCTCGTCGTCTAGAGGTTGGACGGCCGCCACCGACTTGGAGCCGCCGCAGCCCATGTCCGACGTCCGGCCTTGTTGCGTTCGGCCACTTCCAGTCACGGCAGATCACCACCACCACGTTCAGGTCGTTCGCCACTGGCGCTCTAGGCCACTTAGGGTCACTGCTGCTGCAGGTCACAGCTGCCACAGACCGCCCGATCCCCGAGTCGGCGCGCGCCGAGGACGTGACGCCCTGGGGTCCCCTCCGCTGGCGCACTCCGCGGCCTGCTCTGTTCGTCGGCCTCCAGAGCCTGTCTGAGGATCGTCGGCCTTCTAGCGCCTTCCTGGCTGAACCGCGTGTCGCCAAAGCTCCTCCAGAGTGTCGTTTGAGCACCACCGGATTGTCGGCACAGCGCTGTCCAAATGTCGCCTGGGGCTCGCCGGAGTGCTGTTTGGGTGTCACGGGAGCGCCTCCAGAGTCAGCCGGAGTGCCGCCGGAGTCAGCCGGAGTGCCGCCGGAGTCAGCCGGAGTGCCGCAGGAGTCTGCCGGAGTGCCGCCGGAGTCTGCCGGAGTGCCGCCGGAGTCTGCCGGAGTGCCGCCGGAGTGGCGCCGCTAGCCGGAGCGCGGGGCGACCGTGCGCCGTTGACAGGCGTCCGGCAGCGTCAGTGCCGTCTGCCGGCGGCCGACAGCCAGACCCTGGTATGTGGCGCTGATCAATACTTCCAGGTGGCGGCCGCCCGTTCCGACAATTGGGCCGGCCCGGGCTCGCCGGCCGGCGCCAGGTGTGCCGACACGGCCCGGTAAATACGGCGGAGCGGCGCCACCCCGGCTGCCCGGAACGACCGCGGCGCGGCCGCGTCATAGTCTCACCCCCGCAGCCACGAGCCCACAATGCCCAGGCACGCATCGACCGGTGTCTCGCTGGAACTGCTTACTGAGCGGCTCAGTTGCGTCAGCGGGCTGTAGCGGTTCCGCGAGCTCGCCCAATTCGCGTGAATCCGTGATGTGACGGCTCGCAGGCGACGTGCCCCACGTTCTATAACTGTTTAATTTGGATCATTCCGCGGATTTGCTTCCGCACTGTGCCTGAAGGATTAAGCTTGGGAATCTACGGTACGTGGGGCGGTGGATTTGACTGCTTCAGAAGTCGGCAGCTCATGAAAAATTCAAGTCACACGAAGGAACATGCTTTAATTGCCCGTTTTAGTCTAATGCAACATCTCAATGCAAATACACATGATGCCTCTCCACGTATATTTGGGATGAAAGCATTCCACGAAAGCATTCCCCTGACAACAAATCCGCTCTTGCACCTCGTAAACTGATAATATCCTCCATGAAGATGTGCTCCCATTCCCGAAGCTATGCACCTTGCCATGATATGTGGAGTCGGGGAGCCGGTGGGGAGAGGGCAAGCATATTAATAGAGCGCCTAGGATATCGCCGATTCTTATAAATGTTGGAATTGCTGATAAATGAAAAAAGCTTGGTTCAGGTAGAAGGCAAGAGGTAGATATTTGGAACGAATATTTATTTATTAATGCCTTTTGCTCAAACACATACTGTTTTCAGTGGTGGTTAGATTATTCGGAAGCACAATGCAACAATTTACGATCAGTTATACAGTGTACTCAACCTGCTTGTTGACGCCTCTAAAGTAGACGGCACCAGTGAAGTGTGCTCAGTGCGCTTTGTACCTACCTATACCGCTGTAATCCGGAATATGCGCTACAGCTGTATGCAGACTTCATCTGTTCAATTACAACGTTATAAACAAACAAATTACAAAATTATGTAAATTGGCACTTATATACACACACACACACACACACACACACACACACACACACACACACACACACACACACACACACACACACACACACACACACACACACACACACACACACACACACACACACACACACACATACATATATATATGTATATATATATATATATATATACATCAATTTCATTACAAAATTATAAGCCATCGACGCCGATGGTCTTGCATCTGATAGTTGCATACATTACATTTGTGAGCTATGGAGAGGTTGTTGCGCCAATATGACCTTATTTATCATATTGTCAATTCAACAAGACGTAGAGTCTTGCCATATTGGGAAAGAAATCTTTGAGGTGAGTTGAAGTTATCCGGCATTTCAAAGATACCGTTCATTTTATCATGCATGGGTTTTATATCGCCATGACGCTCGTGCACTTGTTAAAAAGTGCTTCAGCTCATTTGCAACATTATTCTTGAGGCACAGCGCGCTGTCGACTATATCTCCAGTGAACAACAACTTTTGTGTTGGAATGCACGTATGGATAGTACTATCATGGAGCCACTGTCCGTCCCGGTGGCTCAGTTGGTTAGAGCGCCTGCACACCGATCCATCCACCCATGGCAGGATGGGCTCGAGTCGCTTTAGAGTACTCATTATTTGCCCTTGGCAGGTATGGCCTGCGACCGGTGGCAGCGGTCGCGCTAAGGGTCAGTTGACGTCAGAGGGCAGGACGGATCGTGCCGAGCATTGCGGCACGTTAAGCTTTCGCCACTAAATTCTGCCGTTGCCTGGAATTGCGCGATCGGATGGTGGGGATCAGGGCTCACACAACAAGCACTGCTTACGTGAGCGCTGACCCCAGAAATCCATCCATTCAAAGGGTTCGAACCAAATTTACAAAGAAAAAAGAAAAAACTGCAGCCTTGTGGACCTACATTTTCAAAGACGCTGATAAATGGAATCCCGTTTTACAGCTGCATTACCTTTTTCCCTCCACTCGGTCTCTGCCGTTGGAATGTATCGTTTTACTAGCATTTAATAGTGCTATTAAATGTAAGTAAAACGACGCATCCCGAAGGTGCAGACCAAGTGGAGAGAAGAATGCAATGCAATTGAAATGTGGGCTTCGATTTATCAATCGCTTCATTATGAGGTTAGCTACAGGTACGTTCCAACACAATAGGTCGTGTTCCCTACAGGCATTCGGCTGCTCAGGACGTAGGTGAAATCATGCTAACTTTAGTAGGGGCTGTCCGCTTTGCTACATTTATTGGGCCTCTTTCGTCTCCTTGAGTGATTGTTGTTTCGGGGTTACAATGCAACAGTTGTTTTCATACCGCTGAGATTACGTTTTTCAGTCCCTGATGCTAACTTCTTCATAAAACATCATGATACAAAACTTTTGGAGAAGTTTTCAGCACTCATTTTTTGACACGGTTTTTAAAAAAATTCGGTTAGATAATTATCGTGAATATCTGAAAAAAGCTTTAAAAGATGTATATTTCGATACAATTGCGCTTGACTGACTATAATAAAAACCGTGTTTATCTCAGCAGGTATGATACCAGATCTCTTCCCACAAAACCTGTTTGTTTTGAAGAACATCCGTTGGCACGTCGGAGCAAACACGACAACACAAACCTCCATATCCTGGCAGTGTCTTTGTTCATAAGCGTGCAGTACTTGCCGAGCTTAAATGCCTTAACCTGATCCACAATTAATTATGCTTGAATTGAGCGATCGCAAAAGCCCGCCTTTCTCCAAACAACACCGATGTAAACAATAATGGTGCAGCCAACATCTAACGTCCCCTGCTGATCCACACGGTGATTGCCGGTCTTGGCATTTTTCTAGAATTGGGTGAACTAACGGCAAGAACTGAATACAAAATATCCATAGCCTCGTGCCATATACTGGGCTTAGAGTAAATGCTGTCCTGTTCCACAATGTCGCAAAACAACAGCATTCCCGCCCAGCAAAACGGATTCATGAACAATGGTTGCTGCACAATAAAATAATAAAATAATTGTATTCTTTGTGGGATGCAAGTGACTTAGCTATCGAATATTAACAAAAGTACATGCAAAAAACAATTTCCTGCCAGAGTGCTCAAAACCAACCAAAACTTCATTGCAAAATCTTAACAATTTTGTAGAAACATAGTACGTTCATTGTATTGATACAAATTCACCGTCATCAATTCTAACCACATGTACTTCTTCAGTTCACCTACTCTTGCTTATAATAACTGACGCCAGGACAATTACACAAGCAGCAGTACGTTCATCTTATCCAAGCTGATCGTGAACTCATGTAAATCTTATTCACGTCAGAGGCATTTGGGCCGCCGTCTTTAATACTGTGACGTAGTATGTCTTTAGCAAGCTTTCGAGGCCTGCTTGATCACGCAGCAATACTGCCATATATCTGTGTCGCTACGCATACTTCCTGGTCGCGTGATTCTGTTGCACTAACAAAATGCCTAAAATCTTAAGTGTTTATGCTGTTCAAATCGGTCGATGGTCTCCAACTTGGCCAAAACCGACCAAGTTATATCAGTTGAGCTTTTCTCGGGGTCAGATTAAGTTTTAATGCGGTCTTAAATCCCGACGACGTATCTGTCAACTATGAACGTAGCATCTAGGGGCGCAGCCAGTCTTGGCAAATGTGAGGGACACAGGGTTGACAAAGAGCCCCTGATGATAAAAGTCCCCCCTCCCCGAAAAAGGCCACCAGACATGGTCGACTTCATTTCGAGGGTGCGATTGTCTTCGCTTTATCTATATTTTTAGCTCCTTTATCGAAACAAAAGCCAGAAGCTACCGGAGAAAACAGTCAGCGCTCTTCATTTTACAATGGTGCAGTTGGCTTTTTCTGTTCTAATAGCACTCACAGGCTCTTCAGGATGTCTATTGAGTTTACAGGGGCACTTATACGATAACGTGAACGTGATGATAGATCTAAATATGCTTGAAGATTTGTATTCACATGGCCAGCCCATGTCAGTCTAGGAATATCAAACCTTCAGTCAGATTCAATTAGCAAAAAGCGGCGTGACATGGTTTCAAGTATGCATGTTCGCAAGCCTTGGAAACAAACCCCAACGTCCAACGTTAGTCTCTATAAACCAAGCGACGCCAGCCCCGCGGTCAACATTACGTAGCGGTTTACGGGCGGGCGAAAATGATGGCGTCTGAAAGAAGTGCATCTGAAAGCTTAAAACATGCATGCACGTGTTTAAAATGCATTACGGGCGTACATTTCACCTGCTCAATCTCTAGACTGACAATGGGATCGGGCTAGTATTTACCGCACCATGAACTGTTGCTGGACTGTAGTGGTGCAAGTGGAGGGGTAACAGGAAAATCTTTACTTTCCGTGTTGCTGTACCTGTCCTGTTCTGGGGACGACCCCAACATTATTCAGATAAAATCTTCGCCCCACTGTAATCTTTGAGCGGTGCAGGCTAATTTGAAAGACTATCCGTAGCATTACTGCACGACAGTCGCTTTCACTCGCCCGGCGCCCGCGGCTCGGTGTCACCTGCAGCGGCCGACGCCGTTCGGTTTTGAGGAAACGGCAACCCCGGCCATGGCTGTCCCGACTCGTAAGACTGCGAGCGCACAGCCTCACAACAGTCAAGGCAATTTGTTGCACTTGTCGATCCTGCCAAAAAATGAACGTTATCAGGTAGACATGCGTTGGTTTTTACATTTTTTATCTCTTTTTGATCCACTCTGACAATCACTCATGAGGTTCCTAACCTTTTCCGGAGAAGCCCGTGGGTAGAACACGAGAGGGCACATTGCTGCGAGCGGGGGCCTGATGGGACATTCCGCCCTGGCCATAATGGCAGCCTACCATCGGCTGCCGTTCTGGCGATATGGGGATGGGTCCTGTGGTCGATCCGGAGGTACTTAAGCGTGCCTCCGGATCGACCACGTTGGTCCCGGAGGCACTCTTGCACATATCATCATCGGTCCCGGGTCTCTGCTTAACCTCTGAACCGGGCGGGTGGCCCCAGGCCGACCCCGGAACCCTAATTGGTGCAACATATTCTTTACCGGCGCAGACGGTCCAGTAATTGGCTCAGATATTTCAGAGGCAGGGACAAGTTCGGTTTAACGGGACCTTGGCTAAAATGCGATGAAAGCCCTCCCGTCCGGCACAGGGTTTTAAAAGTGTGACAAAAGTGAGTGACAAAAGTTTTAAAAAGTTAAACAAGTTTTACTTCACCTTTTCCGTATAATGTTGCATTCAATATCACTTTAAATGACTTCACATTGCCAGGCAGAGGTGTTAACCACAAAGCGAACGTTTACGTTGTGACGTACTTCAAGTGTAATACTACCCCAGAGTATATCAGTTGGTACCATCTCGGGTACGTACAAAGCGCGCGGGCGCACCTCCTCCCCGCGCTGCAGTCGGTGCCAGACTTGGAGAATAAACACCATCTGGACGATACACCAGCTTTCAATTCTGGGTCGGTCTGGAAGTCAGGGCCGTCTGTAACTTACATGAGCACGGAGGGGTTCTGCCCGAGCGTAGTCGCAGCGTGACAAGGGGTGGGGAAGGTTGCGTCATAACCAGTGCATGACCGGGGTGGGAGGGAGTCGAAAAACGGTTAAAAACGCGCGACGCAATCTATTGACGGTCCATCAGCAGAGATCTTGTCAACCATCGTTGGCGCTTGCTTGGCCCCCAGCTGATCTGATTCAGAGACGGTGGGCTGATGCGCGCGTGGCGTTTATCTGATGTTCGGTGTTACACATGAGAGCCGGTGGCGGGAGGCTACTGTGCCCGCAAGCCAGGAGACAGCAACGCAAAGGGCTCAAGCGTCCGCCTTGAGCATGCGTGAAACACGCACGTTGAACAGTGCTGTTACTTGTGGTTCAGCTGGTGGTTGAACCAATACGGTGGTTCAAAACCCTGTGTCGTCACTGCTGGGAATCCGCCGCGTCAGGCGCACACTCGTGCCGACACTTCGGAGCAGTCTTCTGGGAGCTTCTGGGAGCAATCCGCGCATATGCCTCGGGTAGCATCGGCCTGGAATACCCGGTAATGCCATAGTCACGTCCAGCGCGATTTTCTCAGATCTCAGGCCAGCACTTGAATAGGTTCACTCCGATCGCTGTTGGGCTTTCGTCAAATAAACAACTGGAAATTGATTGAATATATTTCAAATCGTGACAACAGCTCAAATTTACAATTCCCAACCACGTGGAGCGTTTTCCTGGAAACTCCGTAAACATTTAAATGCACAAAACAGTAAAACCCTGCAAAAACAACACCGACTACCGATATTGCAAAAATGGGCAGTCAGCTGCATTCCCATGGATTTCCACTCACCAAACCACAATGACATGTTTGTACGGTTTCCCATTACAACAGCGAACCGCACAAGCAAGGCACCAGCGCGGTCACACAGCCAACACTTCCTCACACCGCAGAGAACAGCAGCACCAGCGCAACTCAAACCGAGGACGTGGCGAAGCAGCCATAACGCCGCCTGGCCGCTGTGAGTTTGTTCACTCGTCGCCTGGCTACAGGCCAGCTGCCATCTTGTGACCGGGCACTAACTGGCTGGCACGACTCCAAAGATCCCATCACAGCTCTTCGTGCTTCATTTCGCTGCTCAAGGGTCCCTGGAAGACCATTGTGCTTGTCGTCACGGGTATATAAAGGACACACAGGTTAACCGGTGATGTTAATACTAGTCAAACAAACCACGGACAGAGCGTATGTCTGAACCGTCTCACCTATGATAAACCGACTGGTGCAAAGGAAATGGTGAACGGGACCCTGGCAGGCTTCAAAGCAGAGTGCAAACATGTCCGCAACCAGATCGGTCACCGACGTGGGGGGGGGGGGGGCAAACAAGCCGGCACATCCCACAGCATGACACCAGATGGCTGCCTTTTCCGAGCCGACAACAGGAGACGTTTCAGTCACGACACACTCTACCGGCGGCGAGCGAATCTTGGCTTCCGGCACCCAGCAGGCAACGCACAAACAGACATGCATCATACGCCTGGATGCGCACGGTGCGCCCGGTCCGGAGAGGGTTCACATACCGTCTTGAACGCGGCCAGGCCGAGCCACTCGGCGACGAACGTGCGCAGGACGCGACCGAGCGCCGTAACCGTCGGCGCGTGCACCACCGACGCGTCGTCATCGTCCCGGTGCCACACGGCCGGGAACGGCACCGGGATCAGATGCAGCACCCTCACACCTGCAGCGCGCCAGCGGCCGCCGTCAGGCGCGCACCACCGGCTTCTCACTCAGAGGATGACGCATCATCCGTGGAGCTTCGAAAGCCTGGCTGCGGACCTCACAACTAGCGCAACTGGCCAATGAGGTGTAGATAGACAGTCACTGGCGCAGGCTGCAGACGGAGAGCACCGCGCCTCTACCTGCTGTGTCCGGGCATATAACAAAAGCACCGCGCCTCTACCTGCTGTGTCCGGACATATAACAAAAGCACCGCGCCTCTACCTGCTGTGTCCGGGCATATAACAAAAGCACCGCGCCTCTACCTGCTGTGTCCGGGCATATAACAAAAGCACCGCGCATCTACCTGCCGTGTCCGGGCATATAACAAAAGCACCGCGCCTCTACCTGTTGTGTCTGGGCATATAACAAAAGTATTAAATCGTCCTTCAGTAACATATCCAATAGAGGCCTAAGATATGCTCAGCTAATGATATCGGTTAAGTGTTACGTAAAACAACATACTAGATCAGTAGATTGGCAGCTATTTAGCTTACGGCGCTGCAACAAGCAGCGATTGTGACAGAAAGCTGGTTCTCACATTGCATTGTGAGATGACGTTGAGCGGATGCAAACCGGCGTGACTTGGCGTCCACGAATGGGCAACGATCGCTTTTAGAATAGCACACGATCTATGGAGATCTGGACGAAGGTGAATACGTCATGGTGAAGCACACTACATACACAAGTTCCTTTGTCCCTCACCTTTATGTAAAAACGGCAGATGGTCATCAGCTACTTGTGGTGGCCCACGGAAGCCCCAGGATTTCATGTACCTAAATATTTTCGGCACCTCCGGCAGCAGCCCTTTCTTACGCAGCTTACGCTCCACCGACACCAGATGGCGGAACTCTGCGTTGGTGTTGGAGAGGTAGTTGGCGATTGCCGGCTCCTTGGCGCCCAGCAAGTCCAGCAGTACGAACAGGTCCTGGCCGGCACACGGCGGCATACTCCAGAGAACGCTTACCAAGGGCAGCGCTTTCGTTTGAAAAACAGGCCACGCAACGAATCGTTCAGCCAACCAGTTTTCATCCTACGCAACCAACTGATTGGTCATGCGGTTTGTGCCCTGACCGAGTGAGCATGAGAACTGACCTACAAAAAATCGTATTTGTTCTACAGCGCGCCGAAAATTAGCACTACACGGGGCAGTTTCCGAAACTAACAGCTTCACGAGACCTGGTATATTGCCCCTTCTGCCCTGTTTTCGACTGTAACGTTAACGTTTGTACAGCTGCCATAATGGAAGCAGCACATCGCAGTGCGCGCTTCTCATAACACCCGCACCCGTGCCCCACGTTGCAAAATTATTGCAAAATAGAGAAAAACATAAAGGCACATTTGCCCCACATGTCAGCTGAATGTGCTGAAACTTTCTACACATAGAGACGTTTCCGATAGGCCCAATCACCTTAAAGATGGCAAACACATTTTATCCTATGTAGTGATCTAGACCAGTGTATAAGCTGATGAGTACACCCTAAATGAACGATCCTTATATACAATAAGCCGGCAGACCAGATCGCGGCCGATCACATGCTCGGCACGCAGCCACCCCGCCCACTCACGATGCGATCCAGTTCGGTGAGGCTAGTGTTGGAGCAGGCTGTGGTGGCCTGGCAGGCGGTCTGCTGCAGCTCGCCGGCCAGGTGCCGGGCGCCGTAGATCGAGTCGTCGTCAGTCCACTCGACGATCGCCTCCTCTCCGTCCAGGAACATCAGCTGCAGGGTCGTGTCCGACCGGCCCTGGCCGTGCAGCCAGAGCGTCAGACGCTCGGCGGCACTGCCAGCCTGTGGAGCTCTCCACTCCGAGGCGGGGGCGTCGCGACTCAAGCAATGTTGCAATGTCACTTCTAACAAAACAGAGCCATGCAGAGAAGGACGCCTCTGTCCATCAGTCAGCCGGTGCGATACACGGGCATCCGAAGAGTAACGCCTGCGCAGCCTCTCTTCCACAGACTAGGTGCGGACTGCCACCGTGACGCACCCGTGGGTGGCGCAGACACCCGACTTTGATACGTCCACGCACCATTAGGGGGTGGTGATGAGAGCAACCGATGGTCTTGGAAGAATCCGCGCATCATAGCGTGTGTGCTGGGGCGGTCGCCTAATGAGGACCACGTGCCAAGGGGTGAGTGCCAGGGCCGCCCCCCCCCCCCCCTCTTGATGGGGGGCAGCTCCCATCCAGCATTGGTGCTGAGTTTGGCCTCTAACCTTGATCGGGTCCAGGTAGCGACTGGTCATCAGGTGAGCCAGGTACAGCATCATGGCGCACGGCACGGCCGAGTCGGTGGCGGCTGAAGCGGACACAGCGCCCACCCAGAGATCAGTCAGCATTCATTCGGGCAACTCCACGGCTGACAACAGTGGCAAACATCCCTCCAGCGTCAGGCAACGTCCGGCACTCACCGACAAACGCGTCCCGTCCGTAGATGGAGTCGTAGTGGCAGGCCAGCACCAGACGGCGCGGCGCGGCCGGATCGTGGGTGGCCACCACGTTGGTGAACGGCATCTCCCCCAGCGGCGTCTGCATCTTGAACGTCCGGTCACCGTCCACCGTCCAGCCCAGCCGAGTCAGTACGTCCACAAGGTGCTGGGGAGACAGGACTGGGTCAGACATCAGCAGTGTCCACTGTCCAGACCAGCCGAGTCAGTACGTCCACAAGGTGCTGAGGAAACGGGACTGGGTCAGACACCAACAGTGTCCACTGTCCAGACCAGCCGAGTCAGTACGTCCACAAGGTGCTGAGGAAACGGGACTGGGTCAGACACCAACAGTGTCCACTGCCCAGACCAGCTGAGTCAGTACGTCCACAAGGCGCTGGGGAGACGGGACTGGGTCAGACACCAGCAGTGTCCACTGTCCAGACCAGCCGTGTCAGCTACCAGCTACTTGTGGTGGCCCACGGAAGCCCCAGGATTTCATGTACCTAAGTATTTTCGGCACCTCCGGCAGCAGCCCTTTCGTACGCAGCTTACGTTACAGTTGGTGCCAGCATCCAGGTCAGTATGTGACACCAGCGGCGTCCACTGTTCACCCCAGCCGAGTCAGTACGTCCCCAAGGTGCTGGGGAGACGGGACTGGGTCAGTATGTGACACCAGCGGTGTCCACTGTCCAGTGCAGCCGAGTCAGTATGTCCACAAGGTGCTGGGGAGACGAGGCTGAGTCAGTATGTGATACCGGCGGTGTGCACTGTCCAAATCAGCACGCCAACACGTCGACGGCGTACCGATCAGCTGTCCGAACCAAACACTGGGGGCATGCATCATTTTCCATGTTCAAAATTAGTTTGACTTACGACCATACGTCCTCTGGCTCTCGTGCGATCGTTTCAGCCAATAGCCGCATGGGCTGTGACCCCAAATGACACGATTTGCATCTAGAAATATGCGATACCAGTGGTTTATGCATTTTACGCCTTTAACGGGGCATATTTGAGCGACACGAGTTCAGCACCTGATAGTGCCCAAACCTTGATTTCCCAATGAGCTAGCATCTAGCTAACTTGACAACCATGGCAGAGAGGTGCAAACGACTCGCTGGTTTTCACAACCAATTTTGCGCCGGAGGTCTCCACCTCAGGCACTGTGACGCCCTTGGACATATGCCCATGTGCACCATCATCCACGGCCGACTCTCACCAGTCCAAACGAGCAGCAGCGTGCGATATCTGACTCCATCAGAAGCGGGGAGAAGGATCGGACCCTTCGTTAAGTCCGAGATCGCGGTCCGACTTCGCAGTCACTGGGGAGAGGCAGCATCACTGCGTGATGTTCTGGAGAGCGAGCGGTGACAGTGCCATCTGGCGGTTCGCTTTGTCTTAAAGCGCCCAAAAAACATCATGCTCTGAAGCCCCAGACTAGCTTCTGGATAAAGCCTGAGGGCGAAAAAGCACCGTTGCCCAGTCACCGAAGCCGGCGCCCCACCTACCTTGCGGACATCCTCGTGTGCTGCGGTTGTGACGTAACGCGGCACAAGCAGCGGCCCGAGCAGGCGGCTCCAGGCCTCTTCGGTGGGGTCGGAATGGCGGTCCAGCAGCGCCACCTTTTCCAAAGTGTCTGCTGCCAGCGACACCGGCACGTGGCTCTTCTGCCGGCGAGGGAATCAGCCACACAGCCTCGGTCAGGGCCGCCGCCTGAGAACAGCCAGCATGGAGTGTGAGTATAGGAGTGCATGCGCGGACATCAGTGTAACGACCAGCAGAAGCGCATGGGCGCTGGGAGTGTGGCGGGTAGCTGGCCTGTGTAGAGGCAGAGCACAAACGCTATGCACGCAATGCACTGAAATCGGACAGCTTAGTTCCAGGGCCGAACTTCACAGAGCATTTCTTCAAATGCCAAACTTCGTACGCGAAACTGTACATGACATATACGCGTACCGCACTTTTCGTACCGAACTCGAATTGTTGTTCGCACGGATCTTAGTAAAGGAAAAACTCCGTCCGCATAGATCTTCGTAACAGTAAGCCTCCCGTGTGAAAATGTTCATAGAGATTTTATGTGCATGACCATTTCTCTGTAAACCGTCGCTTCATGTGCATCACGGGTTGTTCCAAATGAAAGGCTTTATAACGGACGTAGGTTAAAGATCAGTACTTAATCAAATGCATGTAAATTGCATGCATGACACGCACTGCAGTATGATCCCTTCCGAAACGCTCGTTACAGCGGGAGTTGCGGCTTGATGAAGATGGGGTTCAAAATAGTGTTAAAATATGCAACAAGCGAACGTTTCCAAAATGCCCGCTTGAATCTTGCGCACTGTTCCAGTCTTAAAGAAGGAAATGCCCTCAACAGAAAACCCACTTTTCGTTCCATACAAAGATCCAGAGCCAATAAAACGGCGCACAATCTGAGCACTTCAGCCCCGGGCAAGGCTAATCATTCAGAAAGACCACAGTCTCAGGCAACTCCAGCCAGAATCCCTTCGCCGCCGCCACCAAGAGCTCGAGACGTTCTAGCATGGACCGTCCACCATTCTGAAAACGATTGGAAACCGCAATTACATTACGCAGGTATATTGCTTAAAGGCAGTGTTCCACACTTGTATAGGGTTTTGAAGTGAAAAAGACATCTTGAAGATCATTAGGTTCAGTTCACAGCGCTGCCCGTCTTAAAGAAAATGTTCCACATTTGAAGATGTTGGAGCAAGCGTCAGATAGTGAGAAACAACCTCAGTTATAACTAGTGGTATTCTTTTAAGGGGGAAAGGGCTGCTCTGGAAACAGCAATTTCTCTGTTCAGTAAATAGGCTGCTTAATACGCCATTGCTTGATTTGGTCATCGCACTCGCACAACATTGATTAAAAACCACTTGACGGCCATTATATGACAATCGTGCTCACGAACGCCAGATGTGAGCGACTCGGCAATTATATTTTGATTGGCTTTGATCACCACATGACCAATGAGATAGCAGGATTCAAATGACGCCATTATGGCGTCATGGATGCCTGGGTGACCTTGAAATGGTCTGCCCGAAAAAGTCTATATATTTTCGCAGGCGTGTAGCTCAGAAACTAAAAGGGCTTAGGTCTATGAAGGGTAGGACCGTGAACTGTACGCTCACGCATATAAGCAGACTGTTTCAACGTGACCCAGGCATCCACAACGTCATAATAACGCCTCTTAATTAACGTTATGCAAGGTACGATGATGTCATCAAACAATGATGTCTCGAGAAGCATATTTACCACATAGAGAAGTTGTGTGGTGTAGAGTAGGTTTTTTCACTTAAACGTATACTAATAGTTATAAGCGATCTTATTTCATCATATCTGTTACTTGCTTCAATATCTTCAAATGCGGAATATTCGCTTAAAAGGGAGTGTTCCACTAAGTATGGGTTTTGGAGTTGGATATGGTCGCTATTTATTACGGAAATAAGATACATTATCAAATAACTTCAGAATGGCGCTAAAAACCGAGCATGCGAATAAAAGTCGACATTTCAAACTCCCGGATAAATATGCAAGACCGTCACAAAAAAAGGAACGAAACACGAGGACATAACAATGTTTGGCTCAGCGACCATTCTAACACCGCCACTGCCAGCTCTCGGCGATTTTGAGTGCTAGGGTGTCTCTTTTATCGGACTAGTTTGGCAGCATCTCAATAACATACAAACTTTCCATGACGTAGTCAAACAATGACGCATGGAGGAGGATGTTTAGAAATAATAACTTGGTAGTTAAAAGTGGGCTCAGTTCATCATAACTGATAGATGGATCAATATCTTTAAATGTGTAACATCCCGTTTAACTCACGCCCTAGGACATGATGACGACTTGTCAGTGCTTCATTGTCAAACTCAAGCAGAACCAAACTCTTTGATGATCTCTGGTTCACTGATCAGCTGTGTTTTCGCTCAGGAGCGCGAAGATCAAAATACCCGCAGCACTTCTTTGCAGACATTTCAGTCCGCTGCGCCACACATTCCCGCTTTTTTCTTGGAGTTGAAAGGGCTGACAGCGAACTCTGCACTCTGTGAAGTGTACCCCATGGGTGGCATGTGGTTTCTTACATGTCATAAAACGGCATCGCCTGTTCTCGATCTTCTGAGTTCGATCATCACCATTCACCATTTAGTCACTTATATACCAATACATGCCATCACTTGAAAAAGGGTGCGGCAGGTGACCACAGCTAGGTTACTATGTCCGCACGCCCTGGTTCTCGGAGCATCTAAGCAGGGCACGCGCGTGCAGGCTTGTGCCTGTCGGTGGTTCCAACATACCAGGACCGAACCTCAATGCCCCCACGAATCATTAGAGGGGCTCCATAATCACTCCGGTGACCACGTGACCGTGACCATGCACCGACTCGATGTGGAGCGGCTGCCTCATTTGCCTGATCTGTCACCCCTCGAATATTTTCTGTGGGGGGGGGGGGTTACCTGCAGGACCAGGTCTGTGAAAACAGCCACAGGCAGTCGTTAAGGTCAAACTTGGCCCGGTAGATTAATGTGCGTTTGGGTGGTAGGCGCGAACATTTTGAGGGTATAATAAAGCAGCCCTAAATCCAAGCCCGTTATCTTGTGGCCTTGAAATATGATGGGCTAAACATACAACGCATTGGACATGCTGCGCGAAAATCGGACGCTCGTAGTCCAAAAGATGAAGCAGCTGTCCGAAAGTTAAGTGCCAAATGTATTTTGGGACCTTAGTATGTATCATTAATAACGTTCATTGTATCCCGAAAATGTGGCGTGGAACATTAAGGAAAATGCGGGCTGTTAATGATATATTAGATAATGAACCAAGCACTGTATGACCAGCCAACCATGATCGACTTCACTATGAATACGGTGCTTCAAATTCAACTTCAATGCACTATGGAATATGAAAAATGGTAATATGGCCTCAATACGGTATCGCACGGCCCCGGACGTGACCAAACTTAAGTGGACGGGGTCAGATGGTATCGGGTGCCATGGGACGTGACCAACAGAGACAGCACGGAGCGGGACCAGACGGGACCGGACGACACCAGATGGAACGTGATCATCCGAGACGGGACTGACATGATCGGAAGCCATGAGGCGGCACGGGATCGGCATCCCATCCCGTCCATCTCATGCGATGGGACGGGATGGGATGGGGCCGGATGGGACTAGATAGAAACGAATGGGACAGTACAATCCAGACGGGAGCGGGCGGGACCAGGCGTTAATGGACTGGGCCGGATGGAACCATGTAACGTCAGAGTACAGAATGGGGCCACACGGAAGAACATGGACGGGGCGAGGCCAGACGGGACCGGACGGAACCAGATGGGACTTTACAGGACTGGATGGTACCGGACGGAAATGGACGAGACCTGAAGGGATGGGATGGATCAGGATGAGACTTGGGACGGAATGAGCTTGGATGGAGCCCGACGGAGCCAGACAGGACAGGACGCCATGGGACAGGATCGGCCGGCAAGGGACGTGACTAAAGGGAACGGACGGCCAGGAACGAACTGGACGAGACCAGAGGCAGACCGGAGAGGACCAGACCGGGCCCGTTTGGTCCTGCCCAGCCCCCATGTAGTCCATGTGGCGTCATTGTCCAAATCAGCAGGGTCCTAGGTTAGGTTCTAACACTGTGCATGGGCTGTGCCAGAAGTCTGGTTTCCACCCGCTCTGCACACTCCGCGGCGACGTCACTGTTGCCGAGGCTCCGATGCGGCGTCGCCACGGGCTGCGGGGGCGTAAAGCTGCGGGACAGCCGGAACAACGGACACCTTCGTTCAAGTAATGAACAGCCTGTTGGCGAGCGGTCCATGCGGCCAGCGAGCCGATCCCACAGAATCTAATTATAAGCAAGATGGTGTGCTCTGTAAGCCTATGCCGCTAACGATTAACCTGCAATTAGTGAAAAGGTAAAAACGCACACACAGCAGAACTGCACGAAATACGACCGTCAAAACACCGGACACTCTTCTAATCCATTATGAACAGCCTATTAATGTCTGGTGCATACGACCAGCGAACCAATTGAGTACAATTTACCATCAACACGGCAATGTATGTTGATAGGTGCTGCAGCCAAGAATAAAGTCGGCGTGGAAATTAAAACGCTTACGCAAGAATTGCTGCAGAGATGGGCGGCCGGCATATCGGACTGCCTTCGTATCGATAATGAGCAGACTGCTTGGGGCTTGTGCCAGGAAGCCGAACGTGTAGAATAAATGGCAAGCACGATGATGTATTTATCGCGGGCTTATATGCCTTGCGGTTGAAATGCATTAATCGTGAAAAACGAACATACGCACGAGCAAACTGTTGAAAATGACCAGCCTAAACATCGGGCCACCCTCTTATCAGCAAAAACCATAAAATTACTGGAAGATTACATATCCGCCATCCGATGGCGTGTAATTGAATGACAAGCATGATAATATGCGTTGCGAGCTTATACTCAGAAAAGTTGTTCGTATTCAATCGGCACTGTGAGTGAATACGCCCACACATGGGTGCATGCACTAGAGGGAGTGAGTCCAGAATCTCCTTCAATTTAACAACAAAAATGACGATCACTTGTGCCTTTCCCCGCAACTTGGCATAAATTCCGTTGCCCCCGCGGCTGTGCGGGAGCAGGCAAGCAT